TTGACCATATAACAAGTCCCTGGGAATCCTATTACAATGCAAATCATGACTTAGCAGGTCTGAAGTGCGGCCTGAGACTCTGCATGTCCAACACACTCCTAGGTGACTCACGGCCCACACTTCACACTTTGGGTAGCTAAACTATAGAGTTATTTCGATGGAGAGCTCTAGGGACACAGATCTTTTTTTTTTTTTTTGACAGAAGTAGAGTCTACAGAGCTAGTATGCGTTTTACATCTCCTATGATGATATGAATAATTACATCAAAAATATCCTCTAGGTGCTTATCAATTGATAGAGTTACGCAAATAGTTACCACATCTGTGCTTTCATATCCATTTTTTTTCCTGCTTTTATTATTTCATTTCTTAGAAGTGTTTCTTGTACACATCCCCTGAGTGTGTGTGGCGACTGTGTTTTATTCCTTTTCATCTCCAGTGTCTATCAGAATGCTGTGCAAATACTAAGTTTTCAATAAACATTTGACAGGGAGTTTATGGATGCCATGCTTTCTTTCTTAATTCTTGAACTGTGGATGTGGCATTCGAAATGCATAATCCTTAACCAAAGCACGTTGGTATTTAATCCCCAAAGCAATTTTGGGAGATGAAATACTGTCAGCTTAATTTTCCTCATCACCCAAATACTCCTTTTAACCTGGGGCTTACTTCTTTTTTAATTACACTTCGGTTTGTCTAATTTAGCCTGGGAGGCCTGTTCATTATTTAGAACCACCAGCAAAGATAGAACTAACACTTCTGGGTGCCTTTCAGTCAAAAGATTTCCTGACAGAACAATCTCTGGTTATTACAAATGGAGCCAGTAGGAAGCTTTGGCACACACGTCGCAGCTAAAGGTAGGTAGTAAAAATTGTAAATGCTCCCAAATGGCCATAAAATAAACACTGTGTGGTACTAATTCCAAGATATTCAGGCTTTAATCTTCCTAACAAGGCAGGTATAGGTGTGTGTAGCAGGCACTGGGACTTTACCTGAAACCCAAATCCACAATCACATTGGTGCAAGGGTGAGCACTTTGAGTGGGTGGCTTACATTTGGCCTGAAAGAGCCAGGTTGGCTTGGGCATGTATTTACGTCTCTCTGAACAGTCTTCAAAACTTTTACAACGTGTACTCACATTCCTTCTTAGGGAGAAGGGAGTGGAAGGGCATATGGTGAAGTTGCCACCTCTAGTAGGATTTCTACCACCTCCCTAGCTCCTCAAGTGCAATTTTCCCACCTACAAGCTCAGCTGGTTTTCCCCAATTCCCAACCAACCTTCTCTTCCAGTAGAAAAGCTCCTGAGCTGCTTTCCACACCCTCATCAGTGGGATTCCATATGGTGCCTCATGCTCAGGCATTGTTCCTGGGATGTTTAGGTTTTGCATGACTTTCCTGTGACTTTAGCACCCTATTTCTGCAGCTCAAATCTCCCCAAGAGGGTTTCTTGGGATGCTTTGGCTTCTGTTTTTATCTGTACTCTGAATTCCTCTTTCAGGAATCTCCCGTGGGTAACAGGCTTCCCTCTCACTCTTCCACCTCTCTTCTGAATTGTCATGTGTCTTTCCTTGGGGAATGGTCTTGCCCAGGGGTTGGGGCCCTGGGGAAACTCCAGATGATTATAGTTGGTGATATGGTTTGGCTGTGTCCCCACCGAAATCTCATCTTGAATTCCCACGTGTTGTGGGCAGGACCTTGTGGGAGGTAATTGAATCATGGGGGCAAGTCTTTCCCATGCTGTTCTCATGATGGTGAGTCTCATGAGATCTGATGGTTTTAAAAAGAAATTTTCCTGCATAAACTCTCTTTATTTGCCTGCTCCCATCCATGTAAGACGTGACTTGTCTTCTGCCATGATTGTGAGGCTTCCCCAGCCACGTTGAAGTCTAAGTCCACGTTGAAGTCTAAGTCCTCCTTCTTTTGTAAATTGCCCAGTCTCAGGTATGTATTTATCAGAAGCATGAAAATGGACTAATATTGGGGTGTCCAGACTTCTTTATTTTTTTATTTATTATTATTATTTTTTTGAGATGGAGTCTTGCTATGTCACTCAGGCTGGAGTGTAATGGCATGATCTCGGTTCACTGCAACCTCTGCCTCCTGGGTTCAAGCGATTCTCGTACCTCAGCCTTCGGAGTAGCTGGGATTACAGGCACCTACCACTATACCCGGCTAATTTTTGTATTTTTGTAGAGACAGGGTTTCACTATGTTTCCCAGGCTGGTCTTGAACTCTTGAACTCAGGTGATCCACCTGCCTCGGCATCCCAAAGTGCTGGGATTACAGCTGTGAGCCATCGCGCCCAGCTGGGATGTCCAGACTTCCAAGCAACATTCCCCCTGTTAGTAAACTTGAGTCATCTGCTGGAGACCCCAGGACTCCTTAACCCCTTGGACTGCTGTTGGCCTGAACTTTGGGATGGCTCTTTCCTAGGAGACCACTTCCCATAATGTACTGGGACGCACAGCCCCAGGGTGGTTCTTGTGGAAGTTTCTTCAGATCACATCAGTTCTCTGCTCAAAAGCTTCCAACAGCTCCCACCTCACTCCTAGTGAAAACACAGAGGCCTAAAGACCCAAAAAGATCTGTCTCCCACCCCAAAAGTCCCACCTCTCTGACCTGATGCCCTATAATCCTCTTCAGGCAGAGCCACCCTGCTGTTCCTCCAACACTCAGGCCCATTTCCAGCCCAGAGTTTTTGCACGTCAATCTTTCTGCCTGGAGGAATCCTCCTCCCTGTGTTGCCTGTTGTCAGTTCTTCACCTCTTAAGTCAGATGTTGCCTTCTGCGTAAACCTTTCCATGCCTACCCTATTTAAAATTGCCAAGCATACTCATCATCCTTCCCCAAACCGTCCCTCCCTATTCCCCCATTTCTGATATTGCTTTTCTCCTAAGCCCTTATTACTACCTAACATACTACATATTTTACCAACTTATTTTGTTTATGGTCTGACTCTTCCTTCTACAATATAAGCTCCATAAAGCTTAGGATTGTTATTTTTATTTACTACTGTTTAAAAATACTTAACAAGCAGGTGTTTAATAAGCATTTGTTCAAGGAATGAATGAATGGATGAATGCCTAATTTATTAGGATTTCTTTTTAAGGTGATGAAAATGCTCTAAAATTGATTCCGGTGGTGGTTGTAAGTATCTATGAATATACAACAGCCATTAAACTTTAAAACGAGTGAATTGTGTGATATGGGAAATAAAGCTGATTAAAGAGAGACAGGCATGGCATTCCAGGTATCATAACGAAGAAGTTTGCTGTGTGTTCTCTGTGTGAGCAGGATACCAGAGAAACTCCTTCATTTTGATGATATTGGCTTGAAGCCTGAATTAGCAGAGGCAGCTATACAATGGTTATAAACCAGGGACTCTCGAACTTGAAGACCAAGGTTCAAATCCCAATGGCACCACCTTCTAGTTGTGGAACCTTGGAAACGTCACTAAAGTTTGCTACATACATTTTTTATCTGCAAAATGGGACTGACAATAGTACCAAACTCTAATGGTTATTGTGAGAATTAAATAGGACGTTTCCTGTAAATGACTCAGCACAGAAGACAGCCCCATGGTGAGTGTTTAATACACAGCCAGCCACTATTTTAATTTTTATTATGTTCTGGAGTACTGGGGATGAGCTGCTGGAGAAAGTCAGATGGCAGTGGTTGTAGCCAGGTCTCAAAGCCATTATTGCCTGTTAAAATTTAATTTGACTTTCTCAGGTCTGTCAAGGCAATCCCTCCTTATGCCCGATCCAACCCCTGCCCAGACATTCTTTCACTGCTTTGATCTTACTTCAGTAGTTCACAAATAAGGCAACCCCTCGAAATCATGTGGGGCTTGTTAAAAAGCAAATCCTGAGTCTCACATGTAGGTATTAGGCAGTAGTTCTTGAAGTCTGGTCCTGGGACCAAAAATATGAAAACACCAGCCCTAAAAGAGATCGGTTGAAAATTTAAGGTAGGCCCTAAAAATCTCTTTTAACAAGCTCTCCAGGTGATTCTGATGCATGCTCAAGTTGAGAATAACTGGCCTAGTTAGAATTTGATTTTCAATAAGCAATTCATGCAATTTTGATCTACTCATTGCATACAGTCACTGGGGAACCAGTACTAGAACAACGGAATTACACGGAATCACCTATCATACAGTGATGGTTAAATCATCTATAGGCTTCCAAACTTACAAGCTGAAGCAACTCAGAATTCTCTTCTATGCACAGACCCTCAGCAAAGAAATGGACAGTTTACACATCTATCTCTTAAAACCCATTTCTTCTGGATACACTACCTTAATTTCTATCAAGCTTACTTATTTCTTTGGTTTTCGCATACGTTTGTTTTCAAGAATATTTTATTTAATCTATCTGTCACCAAATATTTATTGTGTCCCTACAAGGACACAAGGAATCAACAAAAATGGAGAGAATGTCTCAATTCACGAGGAAACATTTTGGAAGATAAAACTGATTATTAATGGTGAGGATGGCATTTCCTTTCACAGGGAGCCTTAGGAATTGGGTAGCTAACATTCTGTGTTGGCCATTTAGGTACTGCCTTTTCTAAATATAGGAGAGTGGACTGTATAATTTTTAAAAAATGCTTGCAAAGCCCAGTGCTACCAAAAAAAGGGGGGGAAATTTGTTTGCAACACGTTCTTAATTTCTTAAACAAAGGTAAGTGTTTTCTATTTCCTTGTGAGATTTCAAAGATTCCTAAAAGCAATTACAAAGTCAACGTAAGTTAGTGAAAATAAAAATGATAAAATATAGCCTTATTGGCAGAAGACAGAGAAGCTTGGTAAAGATGCTAAGACAGTGGGCCTTATAAAAAATAGTCATGTGATGGACACCGTGTCAACTAAACAATCTCTCAAGTTGGTGCCAGTCACACCCGCCCTTGTTTCCTTTTAGTTATCCAAAAGCATCCAAAGTTTTCTATAAGAAAGAGAGTTCCAGTTGCACAAACATAAATCATGTTTCCCAGGCTTACCAGTTTAATATGTTCTCGCTTCTGGTATTTTTCACTATAATACTGTTCTTGCCGAAGATTAAGCAGCTGCTGCTGTTGTTTGTCCTTCAAGTCTATCAATTTTTGGGTCATTTCAGCATCCAGGGCAGCGAGGTCTTGCTCAATCGTTGATGAACCATGATCAGGGCTGCTGGGTTCCGATCTGCAAAAACACAAGAGCTTGACTCACAAAACAGGAAGCCCATAACAAGATGGAGGGAAGGTTATTCACCAGAGTTCCTCCTAGAGAAAGTTCTCTGTTTGGAAATATGTATTTTCATAAGCCACTTGGGGTAGAGGGTGAGACCCCAAGGACAAGCTTAGCGACAGTGTCTCTAATCCCAGAGACTGAATGGAATTCACGGTGCTATAGAAAGAGGCAGGGGCAGAAAGAAAAGCAAAGAGGCTGGGGGCCCTGGGCATGGCAGCGGTGAGAATAATAATCTCCCTTTGGGAAAAACAGTGTCTAATAAAAAATTTTCAGGTTTTAATCTTTTTTATTATTTTAAAATGTGACAAGCGTAATGGCATTCTCAGTTACCTTTCCCATATGAAAACTTCAGTGGACACTGCATTAAGTAGACTTTGTTAGAGAAGCTAAAGATGTGCCCTGTTTAGCATCAGGGGTGATGATTATAAATGGAGAGCACGTATAGATGCCTCGTGCGGATAACCCCCCTGGCTGCCATCTGAGTTCTGTTTCTTAACAAATTTATTGTTGTTGTTGTTGAGACCGAGTCTTGCTCTGCTGCCCAAGCTGGAGTGCAGTGGCATGATCTCAGCTCACTGCAACCTCCACCTCCCACGTTTGAGTGATTCTCCTGCCTCAGCCTCCTGAGTAGCTGGAACTATAGGTATGTGCCACCATGCCTGGCTAATTTTGTATTTTTAGTAGAGATGAGGTTTCACCATGTTGGCTAGCATGATCTCAAACCCTTGACCTCAAGTGATCTGCCCGTCTCAGCCTCCCAGAGTGCTGGGATTACAGACGTGAGCCACCGTGCCTGGCCTCTTAACAAGATTTTTAATAGCAAAGACACACTATGAAAATAAGGCTTTTTGGAGGCTTCACCAACTTCACTGATATGTTTACCCAAATGGCAGTTTCCACACAAACTTACAAGGGGAAAGAGATGGGTTAGTTCATTCTAAAATATTTCGAATGCTTCCTCTGAGCAGCATGACTCTCTCTGCATTGTTCTTAGAGAATCATACAGATATTAAGAAGGTTAGGATGAAGGTCAAAATAAACTAATTATCATTAACTTATGGTGTGATTCCTTCCACTTTTGTACTCTGTAGTATTACCTGTAGGAAACAATGGAAAGAAAGACAGAGTATTGGGAACAGGGTCCAAAGAGTAGGTATGCTCTTTTCATTTATATGGAACCCCTTCCAGAAAGACTAAACCACCACCTAAGACATCCAACACATCAGACTCTGCCTCCATATTTTTCACTTGTGGTCTGATGAGCCAGGTAAAGTTTCTTAGAATCAGCTGTTACTAATTCTGGTTGCTTTTTCTTTGAATTGGGCGAGTATCAGTGGCATCACATGGAGAAGGGAGTTGGCTGAAGCTGGTGTTAGAATCAGATTTTGTCAAATAAGGAATGCAGAATTCTCTCAAGTTTCTTTTTGCATTTTTATGTGCAATGCCAAATAAGGACGGACACTCTATATGGCTCCTCACTGCAGTGTTGAGGGGACCTTTCCTCTTGGCATGACACAGGTAACATTGAATTATCTTTTTTCTTTTCTTTCTTTCCTTCTCTTTTTTTTTTTTATGTTTTTTTGTTTAGCAGGCTACGAGTGCAATGGCATGATCTCGTTCACCTGCAACGTTCACCTTTCCTGGTTCAAGTGATTCCTTCCTGCTCAGCACTCCCGAGTAGCTGGGATTACAGGCAGCGCGCCACCACCCCCGGCTAATTTTTATATTTTTAGTACAAGACAGGGTTTCCTCCATGTCCGGTCAGGTTGGCGTCTCGAAATCCTGACCCTCAGCGTGACTCTCCTCTTCAGCTTCCCAAAGGCTGGGATTACAAGCGCGTGGAGCCACCATGCCCAGCCCTGAAATTATCTTATAGTATACGCGGAAGTCATTTGTAGCCAGGGCATACAAGGCGCATTTCGCTTTTAATCAGTTCCAACCACCCCAGCAGAGGCAAGCCCTCATTGCTACCATACCCCCCATCTGTGCTAGGCACACCATATTCAAAGGTAGTCAGTATACCCATCTCCAGCTTTAGCATTCGTAGAAACCGGCTGTTGTGACGATAATTCGAGTCCCAAACACACACATGGAGGCGGCAGTAGTGCAACTTGCCAAGGCCAAAGAATTACAGGGCCAGATGGGCAACACGCTGTGCTCTTAAGAGCACCACAGCATGACTGCATGCCATGTCTGGACCCAAACTATTTTCGAGTAACCTGTTCTTCACATTATGTAGAAAGATCACTTGAGATGATGAATATTAAAGAAATTGGTGTGATTCATTCCAATTTTGTACTCTGTATTATAATCTGTAGCAAACAGGGAAAGAGAGATACAGTATTAGGAACAGGTCGGGTGTGGTGGTGGCTCGTGCCTGTAATCCCAGCACTTTTGGGGACCGAGGTGGGCAGATCACTTGAACCCAGCAGTTCAATGTCAGCCTGGGTAGTAAGACCCCATCTCTAAAAACAAACAAACAAACAAAAAATCAGCCAGGCCTAGTGGCATGTGACTATAGTTCCAGCTACCCTGGAGACTGTGGCAGGATGATTGATTGAGCCTAGGAGGTCGAGACTGCAGTAAGCTGTGATCGTGCCAGCACTCTAGCCTGAGCAAAAGAGCAAGACCCTGTCAGAAGGAAGGAAGGAAGGAGGGAAGGAAGGAAGGAAGGAAGGAAGGAAGGAAGGAAGGAAGGAAATAAGGAAGGAAAGAAATAACTTCAATGGATGTAATGTCCATCCATTCATTTATCTGAGGTGTTTTCAGGATTTTATTGCATATCAAGAGAGATGGAAGACAGATAGACATAATCAGACCCACTGGCTTTGCCACTTGAAGAAAAGCTCCTTATGACGTATCTTTAGGTACTATGTACTAAGGGATTTTTTGGTTTTGTTTTGTTTTGAGGGACAATACAAAAAAACAAAAAAACAAAAAAACAAGTGAACAATATCTCTGCATCTTCTATAAAAACAAAGTTGAAGGCATTATCCCCTCTGCTGCTTGTATAAGATCCATGAAATTAAGTCTGTGGCAATTTAATACTAGGAAAATTCTTGTCTCTCTTGGAAGAGTCAGCAAGTTTCCTTTAATCAGGTAAGGAGAATTATCAAACCCATATTCCTTTTCTCAGAAGCTAAGAACTGAATTCAGTGTTCAAGGACAGAGATAACATTAAATGGTTGGTGCTGTCTGGTAGAAACAGAATGAGAACTACATATGTGATTCCCTTCATAGACGTAATTTCAAACTTTTAGTAGTCACTTCAAAAAGCAAAAAGGAATGAATGAAATTAATTTTAATAATATATTTTATTTAACTTAATATGCCCAAAATATCATTTCAACATGCAATTAAAATAAAATCAACAGATATATTTTAGATATTTTACATTCTTTTTAAAAAAAGTGAAGTCTTAGATATCTGGTGTGTATTTTATAGTTATAACATATCTCACAAGCAACATTTCAAGGACTCGAGAGCCACCTATAGCTAGTGGCTCCCATATTGGGCAGCAGGTCTAGATAATTTGTCCAAAGCTCAGTCTATGCCTATGTGCGGTTTCTCTTTCTATTTTCATGGGATTTTTACATACAAATCTTCTATGATGTTACTTCAATATTCTACTGGAAGTTTGCAGGATATGACTTATAAGTATATACAAAAATGAATAAACAAATACGTACAGTGAAAGCAAAATAAATCTTGTGGCCCCAAATCACTAAGCTAAAGGGAAAAGTCAAGCTGGGAATGGCTTAGGGCCAAACTGCCTCCCATTCTACTCAAAGTCACTCCTCTGCTCACTGAGATAAATGCATATCTGATTGTCTCCTTCAAAGAGGCTAATCGGAAACTTCAAAAGAATGCAACCATTTGTCTCTTATCTACCTACGACCTGGAAATCCCCTCCTAGCTTCCGGCTTCCGTCTTCCTGCCTTTGCTTTGAGTTGTCCCGCCTTTCCAGACAGAACCAGTGTTCATCTTGCATAGGTTGAGTGATGTCTCATGTCTCCCTAGAATGTATAAAACCAAACTGCTCTGACCACCTTGGGTACATGTCGTCTGGACCTCCTGAGGCTGTGTCACAGGCACACGTCCTGAACCTTGGAAAAATGAACTTACTAAATAAACTTGCTAAATTAACTGTCTCAGATTTTCGTGGTTCATACTACATATGACTAAAGTAGAAACTCAGGAGAAGTTTTAGGCCAAGCTTTGCTTGAACTGGCTGTGTAACTACAGGCAAATGATAATACCATTAGCTTTCAGCTTCCTCCTTGAACAAGTGACAAATATCACCTAGGTGGCCCTTAAGAAATGATGATTTTATTACTTTTTAAAGCCCAAGTATTAGGTTTTGATAGTGCTTTCAATTTAAGCATGTGTTAAATCATATGTCACAATATAAATCTAAAAAATGCATCTTATCTCTATGACTTGGCATCAAGAGAAGATTATTCAGTAAAGGAAGGATGTAATAGTTTGTCTTATACTTCGCTTATTGACAGGTCACTTACATGCTTACATAGTTTCAGGGTAATTTATAAAGTTTTCAGTCAAAGAATGAAATTATATTTCTCAGTGGCAATTATTATCAGTCAAGCTTTTGAGATAATCTTTACTGAGAAAGCTGATGACAATGATTCCAAAAAAGTTTTGAGTAAATGTACAACTAATTCTACATAAAATTTCCTAGAGTTGTGAAGATCATTGGATTATCTTTGGCAATACATTGTCCATTGGTTAGCCAACCTATGAAAAATGGGCTATCTGATAAGAGTAATTTATATACTATAGTATAGAAAATTAAGTGGAGTAATAATTTCAACTTAAAAGGCTTTTTTAAACTTCTCTTGATGCTACAATTCATTAAAATGTTTTATATATATATATATATAGAAATGGAACTAAGGGATTCTTTTGCTTTTGAAAGTTATAAATCTTCTAAATGATACACCTTTATTAAAACCACAAACAACATTTTATTTTAAACATAAATATTATTTTAAAATTTTATTTTTAAAATGTTATGAGTTGATGTTTAAAAAGACTTAAGAACAATGTCTTACACAATGCTGTTAGTGCTTAATAACTGAAATTAAAACTATTCTTGACAGCTAAATAAGCCCTGAGGAAGACAAGAACTGTCTGTGCCCTAAAAAGATAACAAAATGTAAAGTCACTGCATTTACTTCCATTTCCCTAATTACTCAACTTTGAAGAAAACATTTTAATGTAAAAATTAACACTGTTGATTAGGGAGCTTCATGCTGTGAAACATTATTTATTGTCAAGAAGTTCATACTATATACCTGCAAAAGATGTTCAAAGAAATTTCAGGAATCTAAATTTAGAAGAGAAATCTCATAACATTTGGGATAGTTAATGAGGGAATTTATTTGGACATAGTTATTTCATGCATCTGTTTGTTTTGTTGTGTAGAGATAGAAGATTATAAGTATAGGGACCAGAAGCAGTCACTGGTCTACAGAGATGCAGATTCCAGATCTGCTATGTCATCGGACACAAGCAGTATCTCAGGGGGCAACATGCCATGACCTCACTGTCACTACAGCCTTTTGTGTTGCATGTGCCCCTGGCCAGGTTACTTGGCCTTGCTGAGTTTTAGGTCCTCTCTTATCCAATGTGGGTGATGCCTGTACCTACTTCAGTGCTGCTGTGGGCAATATATGGAATAGTACATAGAAGTGGTTAGCACATGTACTGGGTTAAATAACATCCCTGTAAACTTCAGGTTCTGCCCAGAACCTCTCAGTCTGTGATCTAACTTGGAAAGAGGTTGTTGCAAATGTAATAGAATGAGGTCATAGTGGATTAGGGTGGACCTGAATCTAATGCCTGGTGTCTGTCATTAGAAAAGGGAAATTTGCACCAAGACACACCTACGCAGGGAGAATTCATGTGATAATGGAGGTACAGACTGGAGTGATGTATCTGTCAGCTAAGGAATGCCCAAGATTGCCAGCAACCACCAGAAGTTAGAACAAACAAACAAACAAAAAAGATTCCTCCCCTAGACTTTTCAGAGATCGCATAGTCCACTGACACCTTGATTTTGTTTTTTTGCTTTGTTTTGTTTTGCTTTGTTTTCTTTTGTCTTGTCTTGAGACAGAGTCCTTCTCTGTTGTCCAGGCTGGAGTGCAGTGGCACCATCTCGGCTCACTGCAACCTCCATCTTCTGGTTCCAGCAATCCTCCTATCTCAGTCTGCTGAGTAGCTGGGATTACAGGTGTGCGCCACCATGCCTGGCTAAGTTTTGTATTTTTAGTAGAGACAGGGTTTCACCATATTGCCCAGGCTGGTCTCAAACTCCTGGCCTCAAGTGATCTTCCCACCTTAGCCTCCCAAAGTGCTGGGATTACAGGCATGAGCCACCATGCCCAGCCGACACCTTGATTTTTGAATTCCTAGCCTCCAAAACTGTGAGAAAATACATTTTTATTGTTTTAAGCCATCCAGTTTGCTGTACTTTTTACAGCAACCCTAGGAAACTGATATGACACATATGCCCAGCACTTCGTTGACACTCAATGAAATGCTATTCCAGGACTGAGAACAGTCCTTGACAGGGTATAAGAGAGGAAACCCCCTGTGGTCCACCAGACCCTGTGTCCACAAAGTCCCGTGATAAGCTATGATGAGCAGTCCACATGTGGGGTTCTGAGAGCACGTGACACTCTGAAATCCACACGGCATCCTCACATTTGGAAGCAGGTCTCTGTTGGAGTGAACCTGCATTGTTCACACAAGAGTCTTGCAATTGAAGAAGGGCCCTGAGCCCAGAGAATCCCAACTGCCCTATGTCATCATGGTGGGAACTAAGCAGAAGGTACAGGTTTTTGTGTGAAGTGCTTGGAGATGGCAGCTGGGAAGGGAGGTAGGGATTAGACCAAAGAAGGCCTTTCAGCCACTCTTCAATTTATAGGATGCTCCTGAACGATTATAGACCAGGGCCCATCAGTGGAAAGTCTGTGGACCAACAGCATCAGCAAACCTTAGGAGCTCGTTAGAGCTCAGAAGCTCAGTCCCTATGGAAGGAGGCCCCTGAGGCAGAAACTCTAGGGTCAGGCCCAAGGGTCTGTGTTTAGCAAATATGCACACTGAAATTTGAGATGCCCTGATGTAGTCTAGATAATGGAGTGTCATGAACATATTTGGTGTGGGTAACACCATGAGTTTCATACTCTAAAGGACACCTGGGAATTGCAGAGACATACAAGCAGGCTACTCTCTTCAGGCCTCTGACCCCATACCTTACGCTTTTTTAAAAAACAAATCAAGAATTCATCCCCTTCTCTCCATGTCTACCACCTTCATCCTAGACCAAACCACCATCGTTACTCAGTTGGACTCATGAAAAAGTTTCCTAACTGGTCTCCCGCTTTCACTCTGAGCCCTTGATCCTCACTATTCAGAGTGTTGTCTATGAAACTGCAGAATCAGCATCACCTGGTGCTGCTCAGGCCCCAGTTCAGACATGGAGTCAGAACCTGCACCCAACAAGATCCCGGTGACTCATATCCATTTGAGATGCACAGCTCAAGGGTCTTCCACACAGCAACTAGATTCATTTCTCCGAGACTCTCAAATTTCACTATATCAATTTCTTTCTTCAGTAGCATCTTATTGCACATTCAATACATTTTGAACTGTCGCTTGCTCCAGCTCTAAAGAACCTAGCAGTGGGATTCCTTCCTGTTTCTCTGATCTCATCCTGTTTCACTCCTATCATGGTTTACTATGTTTCACCCACTTTGCCAGCTTTACTGTTCCTGGAACAAGCTCATTGTTTTTCCTGCCTGAGGGCCTTTGCACTTGCTGTTTCCTCAGCCTGGAATAAGTCTCCCTAGTTCTTTGCATAGCTGACCAGGCCTTCTTCTTTCTGTGCCACCTTATTGCAGATCAACATGTCAGAAGGGATCACCCATCTCTAGTCATTCTCTATCCCATGGTCCTGTTTATTTCTTTCCTTAATAGTACTCATCATAGCCCAAGATGATGCTGTGTGTTTGTTGTTTATTGTTTACGTTGCCCACATTACCACGTTAGCTATTTGAGATGATTGGGTAGGTCATGTTTATTGCTGTGTCCCCAGGGCACGGTAGGCACTCAATAAATATTAATTGAGTGAATGTGTGAGAGATGCTTCTCATCATCAAGGTTTGGGTACATGCGGCTGTGGGAACCCAGGCCCAAACATAAGAGTCACCTGTGTAAGGCATTATACATTTCAGACAGGGTAGCAAAGGATAGTCAGCTTCTCTTTTCTATAAGACCAGTTGTGGCCGGGTGCGGTGGCTCATGTCTGTAATCCCAGCACTTTGGGAGGCTGAGGCAGGCCGATCACTTGAGGCCAGGAGTTCAAGACCAGCTGGGCCACCTGGTGAAACCCCATCTCTACTAAAAATACAAAAATTAGCCAGGTGTGGTGGCGTAATCCCAGCTTCTTGGAAGGCTGAGGCACAAGAATCACTTAAACTCTGGAGGCAGAAGTTGCAGTGAGCCGAGATGATGTCACTGCACTCCAGTCTGGGTGACAGGGCAAGACTCTGTCTCCAAAAGAAAAAAACAGCTGCCTCTCCAAATAGGTTCTAGGTACCCAAGGCAAAAATCTCATACTCATGGCAGCTGTAATACAGGTAATTAGTTAATTGGAATTGGGATCACCGGCTAGACTCACGGGAGGACTTCCTACATTTTTATTCTCAGAATTTGGTCAAATAAAAAAATTCAATCCACAAGCAAATTTGGGCTGAGGTACCTCAAAAGCTGTGGAGAACGGAGGAGGTTAGGTGGCCTTCTTGCCGTGGTCCAGGTCCAAAAACATGATATAAAACATTAAAAATCCATGTTAACGACTCTTCACGCTATGAAGCAAACTAAAATTATTCGTTGAACTTACTTTTTCTTACTGTCCTTTTTGGCGGACTTTTCCAAAGCTGCTCTCCTTCTCAAGTAGTCATTCTGAATTTCATTATACTTGGTAGTGTGTTCTTTGATAAGGTCAGTGGTTTTCTTGTGGTGTCTCTTAACCAGGTCTTTCATTTCTTTGTAGTGCTTCTTTTGAAGTTTCACAAACGATTTCTGTTGCTTTAGCTCTTCGATGGTCTGTGCTTCCACTTCTGCAACAAATGAATATGAAAGCTAAGGGAATGGGAGGGCTCAACGTCCAGATGGAAAGAGGAGTGGCCACCTTCTCAGGAGGAAACGTTTGATCTTGCTCAGCTGGAGTTTAAGAGCGACGCTTGATGTCAGCTCTATCTGGGTTCCAGTCTGACTCTATCACTTGCTAACTTTGAGACTATGTTATTAAACTTCTCAGAAACCCGATTGCTTCATTTGAATATATATATTTTTAGTTTGGGTTCCCTAGAAGCAGAATGCGAGATGGGGATTCAGGTGCACACGCTTTACTGAGGGACTCTCAGAGTAGGGGAGCCAGGGAAACAGACGGGGCTGGGGAAGGAGCTGAGCAAGGGTGTGGTCTCAGAAGGATGGAGTCTGGTCTCTGCCTGATCCCATGGGGGAGTGCTGCAGTGTGAGTTGTACCACTGAGCTGGTTTCATCTTGAGGCAAGAAGGTGAGGTTCTTGCATGTTTGGGACATTCAGTGCATGGAGGCATAACCATCTGGAGAGGGGGCTTCCTTTTGGTTGAGGGCAATTTTGCAGAGAAGGACAAGTTATGAGCTGTTAGCAGCCAACTCTCACCACCAGCCAGGAGACGGGTGCACCAGCTGTACAAGGAATCTGGGCAGGGCACCAACAGCATTGCTAGAAGGATTATAATACTTCTATAACTTTACAGGGTTGTTAAGATGATGAAATAAAAGAACTCACAGAAAGTATTTAACCCAGTTTCTGGCACTGTGCCTGTGGAGGCTTAGAAAATAACTGTGCAGGTTCTACAGCACCATTTCTAAAGGTACCATTTATAGTATAAACATCATAAGTTTGTACATTTATCATAAAAGCATATAGCAGTAAAGTGTCTGAGGGAAGATCTCTTATAATTTGCACAAAGTCACCAGAGGCTTACTAGCGGGCCACATTACTATATTATTTTTATTATTATTTTCTTTTTTGAGACAGTCTTGCTCTGCTGCGCAGGCTGGAGTGCAGTGGCACGATCTCAGCTCACTGCAACCTTCACCTCCCGGGTTCAAGTGATTCTCATGTCTCAGCCTCCCAGGTAACTGGGATTACAAGCATGCACCAACACGCCCGGCTAATTAGTTTCTATTTTTTGTAGAGATGGGTTTTTGCCATGTTGGCCAGTCTGGTCTCAAACTCCCAGCCTCAAGTGATCCGCCCTCCTTCGCTTCCCAAAGTGCTGGGATTTCCAGGCATGAGTCATCATGCCTGGCTGCTTTTTTTATCCCATGCTGAGAAAACTTTTAAAGTGATAGGGCCTGACCTTAAAACATTCTGGGCCGGGCACAGTGACTCATACCTGTACTCCCAGCACTTTGGGAGGCCCAGGCAGGTGGATCACCTGAGGTCAGGAATTCGAGACTAGCCTGGCCAACATGGTGAAACCCTGTCTCTACTAAAAATACAAAAATTAGGCCAGGTGCGGTGGCTCACGCCTGTAATCCCAACAATTTGGGACGCCAAGGTGGGTGAATCATCTGAGGTCAGGAGTTTGAGACCAGCCTGACCAACATGGCAAAACTTCCATCTCTACCAAAAACACAAAAATTAGCTGGGCATGGGGGCACATGCCGATAATCCCAGCTACTCTGAAAGGCTGAGGCAGGAGAATCGCTTGAACCTGGGAAGCAGAGGTTGCAGTGAGCCAAGATTGCACCACTGCACTCCAGCCTGGGCGGCAGAGTGAGACTCTGTCTCTAAATAAATAAATAAATACATGAAAAAATAAAAATGCACAAATTAGCCGGGCGTGGTGGCAGGCGCCTGTAATCCCAGCTACTCGGGACAATCACTTGAACCCAGGAGATGGAGGTTGCAATGAGCTGAGATCACACAATTGCACTCCAGCCTGGGTGACAGAGTGAGACTCTGTCTCAAAACAAAACAAAACAAATCTGTATTTTACTGATATATTCAATCAATTCTAGAATGTGCATTTTAAAAATATGGTAACATTTCTGAAATCAAGATGCATCTTATGGTTGGTGGGGTATTACGGTGGGTCAGTGCTTTTCTTTTTTAGCAACACATGAGCATAGAATGCTTTACAACTGATGGTATCTTAACTTCGGTGAATTGTCATTTATATGGACCTAGATCAAGTCATAGTTCACGTTTCCATGCTTTGAATTGAATGTCCTGCTTCTGGGAACAAAAAATGTCACCATAAATATTTAAAACTATCAACTGATTCAGAAATAATATATGCTGTGAGTAACAAGAGACCTGAATAGAAAATTAGATGTCTAGTGAATAAACGTTGGAACTAGAATAATAATTGATGCTATTAAATGTTAAGGTCTTTAAGCAATAGAAATATGTTTCCTTTTCTTATACTGTGTCTATTCTCCTGACATTCAATTTCTTTTGAGAATGAGGCCATGGAGAAAACCAGGTACATTTATTTAATGGTTTCCCTCAGGCCCAAATTGACTCATTATGGTTGCATAATAAGTTATTACATTAAGAATTTATAATCCCAAGGAATTGCTGCATTCTTGGTGGCAGATGCAATTCTATTTCTTTAAAAGTGGTTTACAGCATATCAGCTATAGGCAGTTTGGAAATAAGGCTCTAGATGTTCTTACCTATGATTAGAAATAAAGCCACATAAACTATTATTTTTAAAAAGTCTGTAGACGAGAGGCTGTTCCTTAGAATATGCTCTTAAGTATAAAGGTAATGCCCACTTATATAAAGACACAAATATCATTTATAAAGAAGCCACCAAGATATAATCACAGCTAATGTATTGGTACAGACCATTGCCTTTTGTCCATTCATTTACATTCTTTTAAATAACATTAAAATCATGTTCTAGGAACATTTCTGTCTTTTATTGTATGCATTAATACGGTATTGTTTCCCATGAAACTAAATCTTTTTTTTTTTTTTTTTTTTTTGAGACAGAATTTCATGCTTGTTGCCCAGGGTAGAGTGCAATGGTGCGATCTTGGCTCACCGCAACCTCCGCCTCCTGGGTTCAAGCGAATTTCCTGCCTCAGTCTCCTGAGTAGCTGGGATTATAGGTGGACACCACCACAGCAGCTAATTTTGTATTTTTTAGTAGAGATAGGGTTTCTCCATGTTGGTCAGGCTGATCTCGAACTCCTGACCTCAGGTGATCCAACCCCTTGGCCTCCGCAAGTACTGGGATTACAGGCATGAGCCACCATGCCCAGCCTAGAACTAAATCTTTTAAAAACATGTTTTGTTGGGAGGGGTGTGGTGGCTCACGCCTGTAATCCCAAAACTTTGGGAGGCTGAGGCGGGTGGATCACCTGAGGTCAGGAGTTCGAGACCAGCCTGGCCAACATGGCAAATCACCATCTCTACTAAAAATACAAAATTCGCCAGGCGTGGTGGCGCATGCCTGTAATCCCAGCTATTTGGGAGGCTGAGGCAGGAGAATCGCTTGACCCCGAGAGGTGGAGGTTGCCGTTAGCCTAGATTGCACCACTGCACTCCAGCCTGGGTGACTTCGTCTCAAAAACCAAACCAAACTATATTTTATTTTCTTTTAATACTTTCCTCAAGTAATTTTTCTATGCACATTTTATGCATTTCTTGATGAAATACAAATACATACATCAAAGTGCATAAATCATAAATGTATAGCCTTGTAAATTTTTCCACAGTCAATGTGCTTCAATATCCATCACTCAGGTCAAAATCAGAAGTTTGCCAGCATCCCAGAAGTCTTCCTTTTTGGTTCCTGTCTCCCACCAAGTATAATCCAAATCCAGGTTTCTATAGCATGAATTAGTTTTGTCCTTGAAGTTAGTGTATATGGAATCCTACAGAACATGCTCTTTTGTGTCTGGCTTTTCTCCTCAACATTATGCTTAAGTTTTATCCAGGTTGTGTGTGACTTGAGTTTATTTATTCCTGCAGCTGCCTCCTGTTCTATGCTAGGAATTTATTACAATTTATTTACCTACTTTACTGCTGATGGACATTGGGTCATTTCTAGATTTGGCCCTTACCAGTGGTGCTGCTTTTGATGAACATGTGTGTACATTTCTGTTGTATATTGAGCTGAGTATTATAAACAGTTTTAACATTCCACTACCTACTGCTAATTGTCCTGCACAAAGCTTATACCAATTTTAGTTCCACTAGTTTATGTGAGTAACCAAATATAAAAAATTCCAAACTGTATCACAGTTCTGAAAGACTGTGCATTTTATGCTCACAAATGGATATTCTTCATATCTAAAATATAGTTTATTGTTGGCAATTTGGGAAGACAGGCATTCTTGCTCACTGGGTTACATTTCCAGCATGAAACTATTCTTTGATGCTGAAATAGCTATCTTGTGAAACTACATTATTTTTATGCCAGTAGGGTTCTAGCTACAAAGTACGGTTACTTCTCTGTGATGATATCATATCACGTAGACTAAACTAAAAGTATACGTCTGTAGATGTTTTAGAAGAAGAAATATTAATGACGTTATTTTTCAGATATGAATGGAAATTTCCTCTCCTCTAAATACTTCCACTGTGTAATACTCAGCTGCTGAATTCCATGGGGGGAAAGGGTGGCATTTACCTGTTAAGACACTCTGAATAAGATCTTCTGTTTTGGCAGGTGCCTTTACAGAACCTGTAATATAAAAGATAAAATAAATAGCCTCTTCAGCTTTTTAAATTGTATTTTTCCTATAAACAAACAAGCAAACAAACATATTTGGGCCTTGAATCTAAATCTCTTTTCAGAGAAATGACAAATTGTGTGAGAAAATTCTTTATAAAAATTATGCTTAAAAAGTCTTTATTTGCAGCTTTGAGACAAACCTAATTAAATGTAACATTAGGCCAGGTGCAGTGGTTCATTCCTGTAATCCCGGCACTTTTGGAGGCTGAGGCAGGTGGATCACTTGAAGTCAGGAGTTCAAGACCAGCCTGGACAATATGGGAAAACCCTGTCTCTACTAAATATACAAAAATCAGCAGAGCATGGTGGCGGGTAGTTGTAATCCCAGCGAGTTGGTTGGTTGAAGCAGGAGAATCACTTGAAGCCAGGAGGTGGAGGTTGCAGTGGACTGAGATCATGCCACTGCACTCCAGCCTATGTGACAGAGTGAGTGAAAGTCTGTCTCAAAAAAAAAAAAAAAAAAAAGTGGTGATATTATATGTCCCATTTATAATGAGAGAAGAGAGAAAAGACATCCACCTGGAAGCAAAACAAATTCAGTTTAGGCAATGCTATTGCCACCTTCTGGTAAAATCAGGAATGACAAGTGGCCTTTTAGAAGTCAAATGTTGGGAGGCCAAGGCCGGTGGATCACCTGAGGTCAGGAGTTCGAGACCAGCCTGACCAACGTGGCGAAATCCCATCTCTACTTAAAATACAAAATTAGCTGGGTGTGGTGGTGCATGCATGTAATCCCAGCTACTCGGGAGGCTGAGGCAGGAGAATCGCTTGAACCCAGGAGGCAGAGGTTGCAGTGAACCAAGATCACACCACTGCACTCCAGCTTGGGCAACAAGAGCCAAACTCCATCCCAAAATAAAATAAAGTAAAATATAAAAGTCAAATATTGACCACTAGGCAGTAATAACTGTTACAGGAAAGATTCATTGGTGAATGTTAAAATCAGTAAGTAAAAGTTTAAGGAAGAACAGGATATTTGCATAGTCTCAAAGTAGCTCTCCCAATATATCTAACAGGGGAAAATAAACAACTTTCAGTGGAGAAACCACCTTAACCAAGTGATCCCACATCATCAGTGATGAGACCCAGCAACAACGTATATCCGTGATGTGATGCACTGAGAAGGACGAGTATCACTTGCGTGGTGCTCTTGTCAAAATGCATGCCCTCAACCTAATCATGGCGAAACATTGGACCAACCCAGACTGAGGGACGTTCTACAAAATAACTGACTAGAGTTCTTCCAAAGTACCAAGGTTATGAAAGACAGGAAAGACTGCGGGACTGCCAGAGATGAAAGGAGACGAAAGAACCATGACAATAACATACAATGTGGGATCCTGCGTTGGAATCTCGAACAGTAAAAGGACATTAGCGGAAAGCAAGTTAGTCCAAATAAAGTGTGCGGTTCAGGTCAGAGTATTGTGCCAATGTTAGTTTCCTGGTTTTGATGATTGCCCCATGATCCCGTGAGATGTTAACATTAGGGGAAGAGGAGGCTATTTTTGAATGTATTCTGTGCCATTTAAAAAATGTTTTCCGTAAGTTAAATTATTCCAAAATATCAAGTTAAAAAAGTTAAATGTGAAAATGCTAAATTCTCTTTTACTTTCAGGAACACATGACTATTTACTCACACATTTAAATGATGGATTTATATTTCAGAGGCACTCAAGATGTTTGTATTTGGTATATAAAACTCTTTATTTGAAAATTTACTTCTTGTTCATAATTAAGTCATCTTCTCACTATTATTGACTTTGGCAACTTTTTTTTTTTTTGAGATGGAGCCTCGTTCTGTCACTCAGGCTAGAGTGCAGTGGTGCAATCTCAGCTTACTGCAACCTCCACCTCCTAGGTTCAAGCGATTCTCCTGCTTCAGCCTCCTGAGTTGCTGGAACTACAGGCATGCACCACCATGCCAGGCTAACTTATGTATTTTTAGTAGAGATGGGGGTTTCACCATGTTGGCCAGGTTGGTCTTGAACTGCTGACCTCAAGTGATCTGCCTGTCTCAACCTTCCAAAGTACTGGAATTACGGGCATGAGCCACCATGCCTGGCCAGCAACCTTTTAAAAAGCAGTTCAAGCATGTCTGATACAAATTAAATATAATTCCTTTTTTTTTTATTTCTCATTCTCCCCAATGAGAAATACCCTTCCACCCTAAATAAAAGATCTGGATCTATTGGCGCTCTGACCTAGTATGACAAAGAAAGGAGCTCCTTTCCACACCTTCATAGAAGGAAATTCTGTTCCCTTTTGTTTACTTTATTAAACCAATTCAACAAGAAATTATCAGGTACATGCTATTCTCCAGCACTGTGTGATGTACAGAGGAGGCACCAAACTGAAGTCTACCTAGGAGGCCTCCCATTTACTGGAGTAAACAGGACATACACACAAGGAATAGTTACAGAAAGCTGCGTAAGATTAAATGTCAAAGGTAGCTGCATAGAAATCAAAGGATTTTTTTTTTTTTTTTTTTGAGAAATGAGACATGAGTGCGGCTTTGGTTGGAATATAGGAGCTAAAAGCAAGAATGTTAGTATCATCGGGAACTGTGTCAGGCCTAAGTTCACTCTTTCCTGGCTCTGTGGCCTTCAATAAGTACTTTATCACTTGAAAATGTCAGCTTATTCATCTGCACAATGGGGACAATAGTAGAATCTACTCTCTGGGCCTGGTATGGCGGGGGGCGGGAGTGGGAATTGAAATGATCCATATGAAAGGCTTTAGCAATGCGTCCAGCACATAGCAGACACTCAAGGATGTTGAAAAGAAAGTTGGAGAAAGAGGGAAAGGAGCCCTTGGCACAGAATTAATGAAGCAGGCCTAAGAATGCACTTCTAAGGCATGGTTGTTTATAAGCTGCTTGGAGAACTCTTCTCAAACCGTGACAGCAGATGGGTTATAATTCATCACTAAAAAAGGACACAGGAAATCTGGGTGATTTTTTTGTTGTGGTTTAATAAGTTATCTGTAGAGCCAGATGAGCACATATGAATCTCTTCTGGCCTTCATTCATCAATTGCACATTGTCGGAGCACCTCCTAAGTCCACACATCTTTCCCCACTTAATGCTTTAGCTACCTACATCGCAGCGTCTCCTTCAGTGGCACTAATGAACTGAAGGATCTTGCTCACGTTGTCCAGCTCTTTCCAGATGGCTTACCTGGAGCTGGCTGGCTGTGGAGAGCCTGGGAGGGTGGCTTGGGTGTCAGGGATGTAGTGTGATTCACCCCGTTTTCTGCTGGAGTTGTTCTCACTTCACTTGGAGTCTCTGATGGTGTTTCTCCAGGATCAGCCTAAAATTAAAAATATCCTTTCATTTTCCACATTTCTTTTTACTCTTTTCTTGCCTTCCTAAACCGACAAGGCTACATTTTGCAGCATCTTCACAATTCTTTTGGAGTTGGAAATATCAAATTTGATACTGCCTGGAAAGCAGGGTTTAAACAGCATAGTGTTGAGCCATGACTATGGGAGGTTAATTGTATTAAAGTCTCCAATTTTTACACCAACCTATGTCTATGCCTGTTGGTGGGGCCCTTCCACACTGACTCTGTACTAGACTATGTGATAGGCTTTGGTCCATCAGAGAGTAGCAAACTTGATATGAAAGGCCCTTGCAAATTTTTCCACTATTTCTCAGGGCCCTATTATAGCAATGGAGGATGAGAGGTCTGAGTCATCCTGGTCTCTCATCCAGCTCTTCTGGAGGAGAGCTGAGTCATCTTGGTCAAGGATGTCCTGGACCAGCCAGTCCCCAGCTGAGCACACACACTTGAGTGAGCCCAGCTGAGATGAGCTGAGTCTATGAGTCTGGTCTGGATCTGCAGACCTGCCCAGCTGACCAGATAATGCATGAAAAATAATAACCAGTTGATGTTATAAGCCGCCAAGTTTGGGGTTGTTTTATAGAACGAGCTAATTGATATGATGGATAAGAACACACATTTTGGAGCACAGCTTGCTTGGGTTCAGACTCCGGCCCTGCAATTTACCAACGGTGTGATTTTGGATGGTTCACTTAACACTCTGTGCTTCAGTTTCTTTATCCTTATAGATGAAGACATGTGTGTACTGGGAATCATAATATTATCTTGTTAGATTGTTTAGATGATTAAATAAGTTAATACTTATAAAGTGCTTGGAATTGTCTCTGGCATAGAGTAAATATGTGGATGTTAAATAATGTGAAAGTTGTCAGAATCCAAATGGAGTCCCTTATCTTAAAACAACAACAACAACCCAACAAACCCTGACAAAAAGAGCCAGGGAATGTCATAAAGAGAAGGTTCTCACTCATAAATGCCTGATAAGAAAAACTCTCACAAAAGACTCTGCAAAAACCATCACCTTGTACAAAGGCCATAACAACTTTACACAAAAAATACTTCTGTGAGGACACCTGCCCAGCAACTCCCTGTCCAGCCTCGGACTGATGTCACTCTTGTTATTGATCCTTGTAGCCAAGCATAATCATCTCAAAACAATTATGTAATCCTCCTCATTTATCCTTTAAAAACCTTTGTCTTCCTTCCCTCCCTGACTACGCACATAATTTAGTACGTCCTATTCTTAAATAATATTATTTTCTTTTAGAGGGCATCTCTGTTTGTTATTTATGTTGACATAAAACAAATAAAATATTTAAGCTTGTGGAATACTACCAATGAATAATAATAATAAATGCACTGAAACATTTCCCTCCAGCAGCTAATTCAACATACCTTATACAGAGTAAACAGTTTAAAAATGTTTGTTGAATAAATGCTGATCCTTATAAAATAACTGCCTACATATACTCTTTTAATGTTGCTTTTCAATGTGCCAAATTCTCTGTAACTCTTTATCAGAATTGCCTTCCAAGTCCCTGGCAGGTTTTACTGACAATGAGGCTATCCCAATGTTCTACTTTGTAGCACATTTTAAAAATACATTGGGAAATACATTTTTCCAGAAGCCGTTTGGAGCCCAACATTGCGACATTTTGGCATGTCATTAGAGATGAAAAATTGTCCTATAATAACATTTTTATAAAAAGTAAGATAAGAGTGAAAATAGTGACACTGATTGTTACCAGCGGCTTTTAATCTGTTCCCCAAATCATCTTTAAAGCATCTTCCAAAACTGCATTAAGTGATGGCAGAACTTATTTTAATTCAACAGATCATCCCTGCTTGTTTACTACAGCCTGCTGAGTGCTGGAAGAGCCCTTAGTAGCAGTGGCTGGACATCAATTAGAGCAGACAGGAGCCTAAACAAGTATCCGGGGCAGCCTGTATAGGTCACTATGGCAGAATCTTTCTTTTGAAAAATGACTGCTTCTGATGGGTAAGTGCCAGTATGGTCACACTATTTAGTTACATCCATCAGAAAAATTCTCCCTAGAATTATATGCAAAGGGAAAGGATTGTGTGTTTTGTTCAGCAAGGCATTGCAAACTGGAAAATCATGGTCCCAATGGGATACATGGATGCATTTTCTTTGGCTCATCCAATGTTGTCAAATCTTTTAATTAAGGTGATTTTATACTGAAACAATGGATTTCTTGCTTCCCTTGAAAAACTAGATTTGACTACCTGGGGCCTATACACCCACAGTGGGTGGTTCTTTGTCTTAAATATAGCAGCGGTAACGCTTTCCTGGCCTCCCAGCTGAAGAGGGTGCCCTTGGTTACCAAACTCAGCTGCTTTAGAAAGCAGATAGGAAGATGTCCCTGTTTCGTGGGGATCTGACCTTCCCCGTTATATCCAAGTCGGTTTCTAAAACCATGTGGCGAATGAACCAGATTCTTCCCAATGTGACAGTTCACTAAAATTAGCCCTCTGAAAAAGGATAGAAAAAAAGAAAATTTTGATGGAGGAAAGAATGGAAGTTAGGGAAAACCAGCTTCTGTGAAAGTAATAATGGTGGCTTTTTTTTTTTTTTTGGCAACTAAAATTAGTGTCTTGAGGTGTTAGGCTGGAGGTGCATTCAAACTGGATCCAACAAGTTTATTTTTAGCTTTGTATTGAGTTTTCAGATACTCCATGTAGCTGTACGCCCTTGGGAAACCAAGTTCAATTGTCAATTTGAGTCAAATAAAGGAAAAAATACATCTCTGCTTATCAAGGGCATGTGAGAAAAAGCCTCCACCTTCCAAAAATGGACGTAAAATATAAAATCAAAGATATTTTTAAAAGCGGATAAATGTTAAGTAAACATTCAGGCAAATACTTTCTGGTTGCAGTTGGGGATGAAGGGGTCACCAAGGGTTGGTGCTGGACTTTGAAGTAGGCGTTGGAGAAATACTTAGTCCAGGTGTCACACCTGGAGATGTCTCTATGTAGAGTAGACTGTGTCACTCTAGGGACACAATCCCTAAGGATACTATTCACACTGCAGAGTAATAGGCAGTTAATGGAAGTGATAGAAACCAGTGAAGTGGACTGGATTTAACGCAATAGGGCAAAGTGAGGTCATGTCCAGAGCAGGAGAGAGACAGCCTGTAAATGGGGCAGTTGCTGCTGTTCATTTTTAGCCTATTGCTACCCAGGTTTTGAGAAAAATGGAAAAACTAAATTTTTAAGTGAACTCCCCCAGTTTCCAGTCACTGAGAGGCCAAACAGAGAACATCTTCAGACTGCATCTGGCCCAGAAGCTGCCAATCTGTACCCTTTGCCAGGAGGAGCAGAGTTTGCCTGGGACTCTGAGACGGTGCAAGAGTGAGCCATGCATCCTTAGCAATGCTGAAGGGACAGGGCTGTGCTGGGAACTCAGTGGGCCAGGAGTCAACTAGTCTGCAGCCCACAACTCCTTACCTTCTCACCCCAGTGCCCAAGCAAAGGCATAGAGAAGAGGGTCAGTAATGAGAACATTAAACACTGGGCTAAGGAATTTGGAGATCCTTGCATAGACTGACTCTTGCCAGGGACCTCGTATGATTTTCTAGAGACAAATGTTATATACAAGTTAAGTCAGTGGTCCCCAGCCTTTCTGGCACCAAGGACCAGTTTCATGGAAGATAATTTTTTCATGGACCAGGGGGAGAGGAGGTTACTGGGGGGATGGTTTCAGTATGATTCAAGTGCGTTGTATTTATTGTGTACTTTATTTCTATTATTATTGTTACATTGTAATATATAATGAAATAATTATACAACTCACCATAATGTAGAATCAGTGGGAGCCCTGAACTTGTTTTCTTGCAACTAGATGGTCCCATTTGGGGGTGATGGGAAACAGTAACAGATCATCATGCATTAGATTTTCATAAGGAGTGTGCAACCTAGATCCCTCGCATGTGCAGTTCACAATACGGTTTACAGTCCTATGAGAATTGAATGCCGCTACTGATCTGACAGGAGGCGGAGCTCAGGGGGTAATTTGAGCGATGGGGAGCAGCTACAAGTACAGATGAAGCTTTGCTTGCTTGCCCAGCTGCCACTTCCTGCTGTGCAGCCCAGTTCCTAACAGGCTATGGACCAGTGCTGGTTAGGGACGCCTGAGTTAAGTAAGATTCTTTAATAACAAATGTATGTGACTGATGTTTAAACTTTTTTGCTAATGGCTGTAGATAAACTTTTTTTTTTTTTTTTAAATGCTGACATATGTTGAACTAAGATGGATTGATAAATGGATAGAGGATTATATGTGATCAAGTGAAAGCATCAAAATTTTAATTATGGAATCAAGTGGCTGATATATAGGTGTTCCTTATACGTTCTTCAATGTTAGCTTAGAATTTTTCATAATGAAGTATGCCAAAACTCCTAA